CATGAAATAATAGGGCCTCCGTCTTATCCAGGGCCACCCGTAATCCCAACGCCTCGGTGCGCCCGACCACCTGGGAAAATCCCGTGGCGGCCAGGCGCGCCGCCTCCTGGAAGTTAGCCCACCGGGCCGTGGGTAAGGTGTCATCCGCGTAGCAGATTACACCCAGCCCGGGGGGGAGACGCCCTCGTAGGGCCCAGTCGTACCCGATGTTCCACAGGAGAGGTCCTAGGACAGACCCCTGCGGAACACCGCACGACATGGCCCTGCGTCTCAAGACGCCATCTCGGTCCTCGTACATGACGGTTCGCTCCTCAAGATAGTCTGCCACCAGCCGCCTCAGGTACTCCGGCACTCCGTGGTAGCGGAGCGCTTCCCTGATGCAGCTGAATGGCAGACTATTGAAGGCGTTGGCGATGTCCAAGGATACCGCCAACACTACTCCGCCGCAGCTCACGGCCTCCTCGGTCACGGCCCTAAGGCGCATCACGGCATCGATCGTCGAACGCCCCTCTCGGAAACCGAATTGGGCGTCCGACAGATCGGGGCCAACCTCGCAAAGGTGCCGGACGATGCGGGCAGAGAGCACTTTCTAAAAATGTTTACCCGCCTCGTCCAGCAGCACGATAGGTCTATAGGCCGCGACCGATTCGGCAGGCCGTCCCGGCTTCTGCAGCAGGACCAGCTTCCCGCATTTCAAGCGCTCAGGGAAGCGTCCGGACGCCAGGCTAGCGTCCAACACTTCCCTGAGGTGGTCCGACATGTAGTCGAGGGCTCGGGCCATCACTTGGGCTGGAACCCCGTCCGGCCCGGGGGCGGTGTTCTTGGATCGAATTCGTAGAACAGCCGCCCCCAACTCCGATTCCGGCCCGACGTGCGGAGCTTTTGACGCACCGCACGATAAGGGCGACCCCAGGGGTCACGCTCGAGACTCTCCAGCATCTCCTCTCTACTGACATCCTTAACGCGGCAGATGGCCAGCCTCAGAGTTTTCCGAGCTTCTCGGTACTCCTCATGAAGCCGGTCCACCTCCTCACCGACCCCGCGGTGACGTCGCCGACTACGGGTGAGGGACCTCCGGGCACGTACACAGGCCGCACGGAGGTCCGCCAACTCCTGGGACCACCAGTAGACCTCCTTCCTTGGAGGTCGACAACCACGAATGCGGGGCATGGCCGCATCGCAAATCTGCGTAATCGCATTGCAGAAGCGACCAGCCCTCATGTCGACCTCCTCGGTCGGGGCCTGCGGAGACAGCCAAGAGTGAATAATGGCCGCCTCCTCTAGTAGGTCCCTGTCGAGCTTGGCGACAGCCCATAGCGGGAAGCGGGAAGGGCGCCGCGCCGCGTGACCCCTACTGGGGTCCTGGGACCGGGAGAGCTCGAATCGGATGTACAAATGATCCGAAAGCGTCTCGACCTCTTCCAGGACACACCAGTTCCTTACTCGTGCGGCGACTGCAGGGGTAGCGAACGAAAGGTCCACTATCGACCCCCCCTGCTGTCGCACGCACGTGTTGGTGGAGCCTCTGTTCAGCCAACAGAGGCCCACCGACGCCGTCCACTCCTCGACGGCTTCGCCCCTGGCGTCCGTCGCAGGGGAACCCCACGCAATGGACTTTGCGTTGAAGTCCCCCAGCACGAGGACGTGCCCAGGCACTAGTCGCCGCATCGAGGCCTCCAAGTTGTTAAGGAAGACCTCGAAGTCGTTCAAACTCCGGTTGGGGGAGAAATATACACCATAAATGGTGATTCCCCCCAATCGGCGGCAACATATCCAGTACCCTTGTCTCTTAGCGACAAGGGCGGGGAATGAGCCGCCGTGGAGCCGACGACTGCCACGAAGCCGTCCCGGTCACCCATCCAGTTTGGACGGGGAGGGACAAAATAGGGCTCCGCGACTACGGCAACACCTATCGACCACTGTGCCATGGTTTGCAGGAAGAGATCCTGCGCCGCAGCACAGTGGTTCAGATTCGTCTGGACCAGGAGGTTCTAGACTTGATCCATTACTGGATCGTCTCTACAACCTCCTCCATGGGCGTCGGCGTCGACGCATGATTGACATCGGAGGCAGCCTGGGTCGGCAGGCTAGTCCCCGGCGTTTGCCGAGAAGCGCGGGGAGGCTTGCAGCCCCCCTGCCCCATCTGGTGATTGGCGGGCTTTTTAGCCGCCGCACACACGGGGCAGTGAGGGGCGGCAAAGCACTCTGCCGCCTTGTGCCCGGGTTGACCGCAGCGGAGGCACAGACCGCTGCAGTCAAAACAACTCTCGTATTTGGTGCGAGTGTGTCTGATTCTGGCATTTACGAAGCCGACGAGAATGCTTCCGGCGTCGCCCAATACTTTGGCCGACGCCACGGGACAGCTCACCCACACCGCACCGAGGCCTGGACTGGGTGCACCCAGTCTTCTCCATGACTGCATCGCGGACATCCTCCGACGCGATGGAGTCGTCTAGGCACGAGATGCGCAGTTCTGCGCATTTGGTGGGCCTGGCGATCTTCACACCATCCGTGGTGGCGAAAATTCCCCGCAGCTTCTCGGCGAATTTGTCGGCCGTCGCCGCGCCTTCAGCACCAGGGAACTGGAATACTCGAGCTCCCGTCTGGGCGCGACGCAGCCTCATCCCCGCCGTCCCGAATTCAGTGGCGAGACCAGGCCGGGCCCCCTTGAAGAGGGCCGCATACGTGAGCCCGCCACTGGCCGCCCCCGGCGAAAAGGTAACCACTACAGCCGCGGTTTTGGGCGGCTGCAGCTTCCGCGGCCTCTTTTTAGAGGCCGTTGCCACCGGTGGCGAAGGCTGGGCTTGGGCTGCTTTCTGAGCAGCCCTTCTTCTGAGCGGAGGGAACTCCACTCCACTCCTCGGCGCCATTTTGGGCCCCCTCTTGGCCGGCTTCTGGGCCGGCTTCTGGGCTGGCGCCTTGGCCGGCGCCTTGACTGGCGCCTGGGCCGGTGCCTTGACCCCTCTCCTCGGCCCCTGGGGAGCCGGTGGAGCCGGTTGGAGACGCGGCCTCCCGCAACGGGGAGCGCAGTCGGAGCAGCGGCCTTAGGCCGCTGCGACGACGCGAGCGGGGGGCGCACAACCGGCGCAGGGGGCAGTCTCGCCTCCAGACCGGCCAGACGGCCGTCCAACATACGCCCAACTGCGTCGAGAATTCCCCGCAGTTGGGCGTCAGGTACCCCTGAGGTTGCGGTAGGGACAGACTGGGGCGTGGACGGGGCCCGCCGCTCGGGGAGGTTCGCCCGGAAGCGGGCGAACTGAGCGCTCAGCTCGTTCACCTGCTCTGTCAGCCTGTCATTGGCCATCTGTAGGCGAGACACATCGCCTACTAGGCCCTCCACGACCTCTGACACAGCGGAGGAAGAGTCCTTTAGGGCCCTCACAAAAGAGCCCTTTAGGTTTACCGACTTGGTGGCTACCTTGTGGATGATAGCCACCGCCGCTCTCGCCCTCTCCTGCACAGACACGGGAGCCCAGGGGGCGTCTCCTCCACCGGCTCCCGAATCTTGAGCAGGAGATTCGCGATCTCATCCTCCGCTACGACTTCGCCGTCCGCTCGGACACGCCTATAAGACGCAACCTCGCGATCGGCGTCCGTGACCGTCCTCGCTGGCTGCCGGCCACCTTAGGTGGCAGCATGTCTACACCCTCCTCTCCGGAGCGTCCACGCTTGCGACTCCCAGTGTCGCGGAATTCAACATCCATAGCGTCCAGTGCGTCAATCGACACACTGGAGCCACCGTCTGATGAAGCCGCGGACCGGGAACGAAGACGCTCCGATGTTCTTCGGCTCCCAGCAGTCAGTCTACTACAGACTACTACTGGGAGCCCCACCGAGATAGGTGTTCTCGACACCACCTCGCCTTCAGTGGATGCCGAATCCACTCCACCAGTCTTCTTCAAATCCTTGTTTTCTACCGTTCCTTTTTCCATTGTGCTCGCCTTTTTCGTTGTTTGAATCGATCCTTTTCTAGTTTTTTTCATCATCATTTACCATAATTAAACCCACGAGTGGGGGAGAACTAAAGGTCCACCCGGGCAGAGATCCCCCAATACCCGGGCAAGCGTAAATTTATGCCCAACCGAGGGGTCCAGTGGGGGCAAGTGCTCCGGCTGGGAGTGCGCTTACGACTGAACTACCCATCAGCCATGCATCCCCTGGCGACGCACCAGAACACGGGATTCGGGGAATTTTTTAGAGAGGTTTTCTTCCTCGCGGTCCGGGCGGTTAAGCCAAGACCCTCGTCCCCGATCAGAGCCGCGAGACTTTACCACAGCGCTCTTCTCGGGATTACGATATGCTGACGGTGACAGGGAGACACGTCCCCCTGCCTGCTCAGTGGTAGTGTCAGTACACGCCGAGCCCGTCCTCCTTTCTCCACCGCTATCAGCGGAGAAACTGGCCCTTACAGGGCCCCACCTTCTGGTTTTTTACCGAGGTTTCCTCCTCTATGCTCCGAAGAGCGAAGAGCCAGCAGGGCAACCGGCAGACACGCCCACCCTGCTGGACCAGGCCTTGCCCGAGAGCCGATAAACGGCTTCCTCTTCTGCTAGAATATTAGCCGCTGGCGATAATCCTCTCCTCCAAGAGAACAACAGTGCCATCGCCAGCGTTTCCAGGGTGCACCACGGGGAGGTTTTCTAGCATAGCACCCCAAGTATATGCATGCCTTTTTTTTTTTTTTTTTTTACGTGTGGAAATCCCTTCGGACCGTCACCCCGCCGGGGCTCTCGTTCGGCGGGGCGGTGTGTCGGACTCGAACCGACTAAAACCACACGGTGTGCCCTCTTTGCGCTTCCAGTTTAGGAGGGGTCCAGGTAGCTATCTCCTTCTGGACCCCTCCCAGCGCCGGCCCGCTCCTGGTGCGGGCACCGTCTCCAATTATCCTCTCTTTAGGCGACGTCCGGCACACGCGGACGCCGCCCCCTCGCAGCTGGCCAAACTAATGCGGGTGGAGGGGAGAACCCATCCCGTCCACCCGCGGCCACACTCAGGGCGGCATGAGGCGCAGGTGAGCGCGCCTCCGCCGCCCGGTTCGCCGGCGGCGGATCAGGTCCGAGTGGAGGTCGTCCTCCCGGGTTTCTCCGGCGCCTCCTTCCGCGAGATTACCTCCTCGCAGAAGGTTGCGACCGCGGTAAAACAACTGTCGCTATCGGCCATGGAGCGAATTACGGCCGGTAGCGAGACATCTGCTCCGATGACTGCAGTGAGGGCCCGGCGCTGCGTCGCCCATGCGGGGCAAACCGCCAGCGTGTGCTGGGCCGAATTCTCACCGCAGTCGCAGTGGTGGCAGGCGGGACTCGATTCCCTCCTAGCGACCGAGTACAGGTACTTTCCGAAGCAACCGTGCCCGGAAAGTGGTAGCGGAGCGCTTCCCTGAACATCAGCCTCGCTGCCCCCGTCGTCTCCGGCTGATGCAGCCATCGACGGTGGTGTGTGCTCCGCCCGCTGCATGCCTGAACTAACCCATCAGTGGTTGTCGATTGGCTTCGAGGTCACCCTAGACGTTGGAAAACCTTCGTCAGCCACAGAGTTGATTAAAATTCTTATTGTTATGGACGGGAATTAATGGTGGCATTTTCAATCAAAGAATAATCACGCCGATTGCGCATCGCGAGGTGTAAATCTTTCTGCATGCGTAGGTCTGATTTTGTCGGTGAGGGGGCCTAGCTGGCTCAGAGACGAAGTAGTAATTATAAGTAAAGGTAGTATAAATCAATCAAATCTAGAGGAAAAGAAAAGAAATGTAACATCGGGTAATATAGTAATTAAAAGTAGTGAAGAGAATAATATAATAACTAATAAAATAATAAATTTTCATAAGAAGGTTAACGAGAGTGATTGCATACTGGAGAAGGTTTTTGAAATCAAAATATAAACAAAATAATCAAACATTATTCATCCCTTTGTTAAACGTTTGCTGAAATTAATGAAAGTTTGTTTAGTATACATCAAAATGTGTCAACGTGAATATTTTTCCAATGACATAGATCGGCTGCCCCAATTTAAAACCCAGTAAGTGCTTTTTAACAAATTTTACCCTGATTACAAAATAAGAAAAATATTTCGAAAATAATGTATATTGCACGTTTTGTACCCCTTACTAACTTTGAAAATGAACAGACTCAACTTTTGCCTCTTTCCTGACGCGTTTCAAAACCTAGTATAAGCAACGATATATAAACAATAGATGCGTTGCCCACACTGAAATGGCGAATGAATTTGTTGGTAATTACCAACACTCCGTTTAGTACCGCACGAACCAGTGTTGCGACAGTACGTTTCGTGAAAATAAATTATCGTTGTTCTCTTCGTAAAAAAATTGTGAAAAACATGCCTTCGTTTTCAGACGATGTACAAGTTACACTGCAACCGTAAAAGATAAAAGTGTGTCATTTCATGCGTAAGTATCAATATAAATGTCTTTTATTTTATTATTTTTCGACGCCGTCTAATGGCGACATTACGGGAAGTTGGGGCATTATTGTACCAGTGTTTTTATTTGTTGAGAGTTATAATCTATATTGTTTGAATATAATTGTACAGTTACGAATTCTAATTACCGTATTTTCTCCGTTTAGATTACCTAAGGATGGAATTATGAAAGAAAAGTGGCTTCGCGTTATAAGGGCTCAAAGGCGTGAAAACGATTGGCTAGCAACGCCTTATTGTAAAGTTTGCTCTAAACATTTTCTAGCCAGTGATATATATGTAACGGAAAAAAATTATCGAAGATTAAAAAAGACAGCAGTTCCTGTTATTACGGTATTTTTTTTTTCATAAACCATTAAGTTTTTGTTTTTGTTTAAATTCATTAATCCAATTGTTTTTAATTGTTTTTAGCAAGAAGCACAAAACATTAATGCATCTCCAACAAGCTTGCAACATGTCCACTTATCTGAAGAAGATTCAATTTTCGAAACACCTAGAAAAGCATTTTTAAAGAAAAAAAATTGAAAATTTTCTCAAGATAAACGCAAATTACAAATGAAAAATTATAATTTGTGTAGAAAAAATAAAAGACTCAAAGAAAAGTGCAATAATTTAAAGCAATTGGTATCTGAGCTTAAAAAAAAAAATTTCACCATTGACCAGTTCAATGAAGTAAATCTTAAAGCCGAAGCGGTACATTTTATTTATAGATTGGTTAAAAAAAGTAATTTAAAGGGCTATCGTCAAAAATATACACCAGCATTAAGAAAATTTGCAGTCACTCTACACTATTACTCAGCAGCTGCCTACAAATATCTAAGGCAGGTATTTAATGGATCCTTGCCACATCCTTGTGTCATAGGAAAATGGTACGAGAACAACTCAGGTGAACCTGGCTTTAATAAACAAGCGCTAGATGTTTTGGAAAAAAAATATAAGCACAGTAGCCAACGAATACTGTGTACATTAGTTGCGGATGAAATGGCTCTTCGTCATCAAACTACGTGGACTGAAAAGAAGACTGCAGGTATTGTAGACTTTGGTGCCGGTTCAGCAATTTCGTGCGAAGTCGCGACTCAGGCATATGTTTTTTTATTAGTATGCATGAACGAAAGCTGGAAAATCCCAGTTGAATATTTTCTTGTCAACGGATTATCTGCTGAAACTCGGGCAAATTTGTTAAAAATATGTTTAACTGAATGTTATCGAGTGGGGGTAGACTTTGTTGCAATTACTTTTGATGGCTGTGCATCAAATTTAAATGCAGCTAACTTACTAGGTTGTGATTTAAAAAACCCAGCACATTTAAAAACAACTTTTAGACATCCTGAATGTGATTTAGATGTTGCAATCATGCTTGACCCTTGTCATATGATTAAATTAGTACGAAACTCATTCGAAACTAAACGACTGATTTTTGACGGGAGTGGAAAGGAGATTCGTTGGAAGTTGCTTGAAAACTTAGTGAAACTTCAAAAAAACATTGGGCTTAATTTTGCTAATAAAATTACCCCACGTCACATTCATTTTAGAAATGAAGTAATGAAGGTTAAATTAGCTACCCAAATTTTGAGCTTGAGTGTTGCAAATGCACTCAAACTGTGTGATGACATTTTAACATCTTCCCTCTTTGTGGACACTATAGGTACGGTAGAATTTTTAGAAACTTTCAATCATTTATTTGATATTTTTAACTCGAAATCATCCGATTTCCATGGTATGAAAAAGCCACTGTGTAATAAAAACGCCAGTGATATTATGGCTTTTCTAGTAAAAGCTAAACAATATATATTGGGTCTTTATATTTATATAAAATAGAAGTGTGAAAAAGAAAGTGATAGAATCCAAATACAAAACAGGATTTTTAGGGTTCCTCATTTGCATAGTAAGTTTGAAACATCTGTACTCTACTTTAGTCGAAAGACAACGCTTACAATACATCGCAACCTACAGATTATCTCAAGACCACATCGAAATATTGTTCGGTGCTATCAAACGGCATGGAGGTTATAACAACAATCCCAACGTTGTCCAATTCAAAGGAATTTTCAAAAAAATTCTTCAACACCTGAAAATGAAATCTACTTTTTTAGGAAATTGCATACCACTAGAAGAGATTACTGTGTTGACGTGTTCATCAGCAGTCCAAAATATTAATTCTACAGTAAGTAGAAGATCTATCGATGAGATTGACTCGATTGATGATGATTGTCAGCAATCTAAAGAAACTGAAATAAACACAAATGTAAAATTGTTTTCGACAATGCTAAATAATGAAAGTGTGAAAAAGATCACTGAACAGATTATCGATTATATTTCGGGATGGGTATCCCGAAAACTAGCTTCAGTGTTGAAATGTTCGACATGCATTGATAGTCTGTACTGTAACAACAAATTGTGGTTTCACAAATGAATTGTTTTTAAAAACATGGGGGGACTATGTTTCCCAAGTGAGGATGTGTTCCAAATTTGTCTTAAGTCAGAAGTTGTTATTAAAAACCACACACCACACAAACCACACCACAAGAAAAGGGTCACATTATCTTTCCCGATCCCAAAGATTTAGAAATGTTAAAAAACCGTATTTTAAAGACTTTTATTAGCCGTAATAACGTATTTGCATCTGTACATCAGTATTCTATTGAGCAACATCCCATTTTTAATCACAGGGTGCAACTCATCCGTGCGATCATAGATAAATTTATTAATATTCGTCTACATTTCGCACATAAAAGTTCCGAAGCACATTATAAGAGACAAAAAAGAAATAAATTAAGTTTGTTTGAAGGAATTTGAAAACATATTTACTAAACAGTTAAATTTTTCACGATTCAGGGTGGGTCTTGTGGTAAAAATGGTTCACAATGCTATTGCTACGAGTAGTAATTTCATTTATCGCACCTATGTGATATCCATACTTTATATCCGAGTACCAAAATGTGTTTTTGTAAACGTATATTAATTTTTAATAAGGGTTTTTATGTTTAAATTATACTTCAGTTTCATTGAGCAAATTCAGGCTATCAGTGACAACTATCTTTTAATATATTATTATTAATGATTTAATATACAAGATATGTTACCTTCATAGTAACTGACTCTTCAAATCTGATCGCGCCATATATACATACCGATATAGTGCACACATGTTGACAAGTAGCATTAATGAAAAGTACAAAAGATGGGATAAGCATGTGAGTAAAAAAGATAGCTATAATTGGAACGATTGCACTTTAAGTGTTATGTTGAACCATAGATTATGATTTTGTTGAACTTCAGTTTTATTGAGCAAATTCAGGCTATCAGTGACAACTATCTATTAATATATTATTATCAATGATTTTATATACAAGATATGTTACCTTCATAGTAACTGACTCTTCAAATCTGATCGCGCCATATATACATATCGATATAGTGCACACATGTTGACAAGTAGCATTAATGAAAAGTACAAAAGATGGGATAAGCATGTGAGTAAAAAAGATAGCTATAATTGGAACGATTGCACTTTAAGTGTTATGTCGAACCATAGATTATGATTTTGTTGAACAGAAGGATATTTCGTTGGTAGGTAAGAAACAAAATTCGATGAAACAGTTAATACATATTTATTGATTATCTATTTAAACACACTTGAACAATGTCAACCTACCTGCCTTAAAGTATTTTGTTTCGCTTGAAAATGGATGTACACGACAAATAAAAAAACTTCTTAAAAATAATTGTTTAACAAATAATCACCATAGTAACATAATAGTCAATAATTAAACACCTTCGAATAGATTTAATTTATTTCTTTTCTGCCTTTTTGAAAGTTTTTTTATTTCAGGATTATTTTTATGAGCGGAATGAAGACGAACTGTGGTATATTTATCAATTATGGTTTTAATTAAATTCACGCAATGATTAAAAACGGGTGCTTGTTGCTTTGAATGATCTTAGAGTGAGTCAAATATGTTGAAATTTAAAAAAGTTTTTAAAATTCGATATTTTAATAAATCAATATCTTGAATACTTACAAAATGAACTCCTTTTTCATTTAAATGAGATTTTATAATATTTTTAGACTTAAGGCATACGGAAAACAAATTTTCTGATACATAGCATAAACCTCCCATATCTCTAATCGTAACTAATTTATGGAACCACAATTTTTTATTGGTATATAAAGTATTAATACAGATTTCACACTTTAAAGTTTTTGATAATTTTTGCGCAATCCAACCAGAAATATAGCCTATTATTTGTCTGGCTGATTCTGAATAATTTTCATTTTTGAGCATTTCAGAAAGAATATTAACATTGTTTTCGGAATTTTTATCACTGGTTGTAGCCTCTCTACAATATTATCAGTTTCCTCTAAAGCACGAAGTCCTGATGAAGAATTAATATTTATAATACCTGACGATGAGCACGTGAGTATAGGAATATGTTCCAAAGGAATACAGTTGCCACTAAAAGAACTGCGTAACTCTAAGTGATTGTTTTTTTTTTTGTACAATCCTTTAAATTGAATGGTGTTCGGATTGTTATTGTAACCACCTTGGCGCCGGATAATACCAAAAAAATTTTCAATGTGGTCCTGACTTAATCGGTATGTTGCGATATACCTTAATACTGGTGTATCGTAAAATGGTGATATTGTTGCAGTAACGTAAGTAGTAAAAATATGCTTCAAACTCTGGATGCAAATCAAAAAGCCCAAAAAGCCCGTTTTTGATTTGCATTCAACTATTGGTTTTTTTGATATGTTAATAATAATTCTTCTTCCCCTAATTCGCTTAGTTTTACTGTAAATTCGTAAGGACAAAATATACTGTTTGGCTTTTTCTAAAAATTCGAATATTTTTGTCGCATTATTTGGACTGATGGGTTTTTTAAAATCATACTGTCCTGAGGATCTGGAGTTTAAAATATCAAATAAATTATTAAATATGGAGATAAATTCTACGGTTGGTTCTGTATTCTTAATTTTGGATGAGATTATTAATTGATCACAGAGTTCTAAAGCATGGGCTATACTTCTGCTTAACAATTGGGTGGCCAATTTAACTTTCATGATTTCGTTTCGAAAATCTATGTGTCGTTGCGAAAGTTTGTTAGCAAAGTTTAAGCCTTCACTGGTTTGAAGCTGATTTAAAGCAACAATTAAGCTCCATTTTATTTCTTTATTATCATTCCCGAATATGTTTTTTTTTTTGCCTCGAAGGTGTTGTGAACTAGTTTGATCATATGGCAGGGGTCTAAAACTACAGCAACTTCGATACCACACTCAGCATTTTAAAAATGTTGTTTTTAAATTGTTTGGTGTATTTAAATTACACCCTAGGAGATTAGCCGCAGCTAAGTTACTTGGACAACCGTCAAAAGTAATCGCCACCACATCAACACCTGAATCGTAGCATTTACTTATGCAAGTACTGATTAAATTTACTCGTGTTTCAGCTGAAAGAGTTTTTATAAAAAAATAGCCTACTGGCATCTTCCAGCTTTCATTCAAATCCACTAAAAGGAAAAAGTAC